TTTTTTCTAAACTAATCAACAAACACAACATTAGTTAGGGTTTATAACATACGCCACTCTTATAGTGTCTTTTATTAATCGCTGAACTAGTTTTAGCGGTGAGTGAAAGTCGTATTAAATAAAAGCATGTGTTGTTTGACTCACATTTTTTTTATTCAAAATTGAGTTAAAGAATCAAGAATTTTAAAGAATTAAATCTTATGATAGAGTCTCTCTCTCTCTCTCTCTCTCTCTCTCTCTCTCTCTCCTCTTTCTAAGCCATAAACTAAAACTAAGGATTGTATTCAGAAATGGTCATCAAATATAGAAAAGCGTTTCTCATATCAAAAGTAATTTGAAAGACTTGATAATCAATCAGTAGAATAAATGCCCGCAAAGACATGATCTGAACACTAATAATATATTTTTGAGAAAATGTTTAACAATTCAGTATTATTTAAATTATTTGACTCTTGGCTTTCATTCGCTTATAAATATTGTTTAGACATAAATATTTAAATCTTGTTTATTGCATAGATTTAAAGACATGATTCAATTGCCATCAAATTTGGCAAAATATACTGATTGTATAATTTCTAGATATGCCCCAAATGTTTGCCCCTAACTCTATATTATTTGGACAAAGATTTCTAACACATCGATAATAAGTCAGATTTCGTTTTTATTTGTTTTGTTGATTTTTTGTCGACATTTCTATGAAATGTTTTCTTAAAATACTTGATATGAAGTTGAAATAGAATCGAGAAATTTTAGACATTTGTTTGTCTTTTAGCGTAATTTTAATAAAAACAGAGTTTGAGTCTATTATTGAAACAAATATTAGATTTATTTAAGTCGGACTCAATTATATGATTGGTTTTGGATCTCTTAAGGGATTGCGATTGTGTCCGTCATTTGAGTGAAAGGTCACGAATGAGTGATAATTTGTTGGATTCCCTGAAGAATGCAAATATTTAGAGCCAAATGCTTGTCCACAATGACTGCCACTACAGAAGTGCCAGAATCTAAAGGAGGGTTTCATTTGATGCCAGAATATCACAACTTCTGTAAGACATGTGCCAAATAGACTGCCATTCGGTCCACTCTTTTCACAAATCAATCTGATCTGTAATTTTCGGCTCTGAATATGTCTTCAGCCCTATTGAGTCCATACAATACAATAGATGGACAGACTTTGCCATCAATTAAGTTGTCAATAATGTTGAACAATCTCTTGAGATTCAGTGTCTGTAAGTTGTTGTGAGGGATGAGACCAACAATGAAACGCTTGATTGAGTCGCACCGGCAATGAATTCAACACAATATTAAATTACTCGCCACTCTATCCAACAAATACCTCCCTATCTCTGCCTCTCATTGAAATGAACGGCATTTCATCCGTTCATTCATTGATGAAATTCTTTAGCAATAGAAGTCTAAACTCTTATTTATATTCCGATAATTATGTTTATAATTACTTTTGCAGTTTGTTTGGTGTAAAACTACTTAAAGTTTGGAAACTTTTAAACACTTCAAACACTTTCATTTATACACAATAATATTTGTTATTATATACAAAATTACATTAACTATTGATATTTATAAGTGAAACTAAATTGTGTATTATTTTTTGTAATTTCGATGAATAGGCTGTTGTTTTGTCACGTTTTACACGAGAAGAGCAGCACTTGAGGTATTGATTTACTGCCAATAATTGTATTTTAATTGCATTCACACTATGAATACTCTAAACGCTATTTTCTAATGAAAACATATCATCTTTTGTTTGATTAAATTTAGGCCCAAAACGAGTTACACAACATTAGGACTTTGCCGTCGGTAATGAATAACAACTGTTATTAATTTGATTAATTACTCGCGACTTAAATGCGATTTCAATGTTAATTATATGTTAGACTTTGATTAACAATTATTTCCCGTTGTTTCTAATAATACTATACTCTTTATTCAGTGTTTTCTGTGTTTTTGTGTGTCTTATGTCTGACTAATTGTTCGGAGAAATGAATTTAAGTAAAGAAATGTGAAAATTAGGGCCAAATCTATAAGAATAGAAGAGAAAGAAACGAATTAATGGAAGGAAACAGAGAAAGAGTCAGTTGTTGTAAAGATGTGTCGACTCTTTATGAATGCTTCTTAAAGTGATAGAGAATACAGAGGAAAAAGAGGAAAGAGAGAGAGAGAGAGAGAGAGAGAGAGGAGCTGTGATGCAATTCAAATAA